ACAACCATGGTGGGGCTGAGGTGGTATCGACCTGTCTCTTATACACATCTAGACATAACATATTATATAACATAACATAATGGAGTCTTTGTTTAATAACACACTTACAATTTTTTTCAAGAATAAAACTGAACAAACCCAAAATAACTTTTTTTCATTAGAATATTTATTATGAAATTAAAATTAAGGTTACAATATAACTAGCTCTATGTGTTTAACATAATATGTACAGTTTTCTCTAGCATTGTGGATGGTATCTATATAATGATTTAACAAAAAGTCTTATTATCAAATTATGTTTCAAGTTACTTTATGATTTATTTAAACTGGTATATTTGTCAGTATTATGATACCCTTCTTCCCAGTACTGGCACTAAGAACTCTCATAGGAGAACCTGAACCCACCCATCGGCGAAGAAGATAATCACTTTGTTGGCGAATTCTGCTTTGATAAAAACTTTTACTGTCTGAGTGTGCTATTTCCAAGCACCTTAGAGGTGCAACCATACTTAAAACATATCCTTCATGGTGGGCTAAAGCGAGTGCAGACTCCCTGTTGGGGATCTTGAACTTCTCGTTGGGCACCTTCCAGCCACTCATTGAGAAATCTCTGTCATTGCCTATGGTTCTCCTACAGTGCAAGTATGCCAGAAAAGTGTTGATCAACTGTCACACATTATCGCACCCTAAATCTCCATCAGTAAATTTAAATCTGTTTCCACATAAATATTATTGTATTGATATCAATATTGGATTATTTTATATTTGGAAAGGCTGCTGAAAAAACAGCCTTACCATCTAAAATCCTGGGTATCACCCAGCATGTGTCCAGCACACTTTAAATCTTACAGCAGTTACGTTCAGATCCTTACATTTTCACGTCAGCGGTCCTGAGGTGTTGTATACTTGGTAAACAAGTCTACTTAAGGCTGGACCAAGATTTCTGTAAACAACAAATAATTATTTAAATCGTATCAAAAAATTAAAACTTTACCCAGGGGCGGTAAATCTGGAGTAAAAAACGCATACATGCTGGGAGGTGTGTGATACCTCCCAATCCCTGGACATCTACTTTTTCCAGCCCTAGGCTTATATTCAATTTTTTCATACTAAAGCAATAATGACTCCCAAAGATGTATATTCCACTGGCTTCTTGCAACTTTCATTATAAACATTAGCACTTTTATGTGAGAGAGCACTGAAAAGTTGCCAAGCTAAAAAAACTTATACTGAAGTTGTTTCATATCCCCTCAATCACTCTCCACATTCTGCACTTTTCTTTTTCTGCTCCCTAAGAGCCCCCTCCCACACCATTTAGCCCTCCATGTCAAAACTATTAGATATACTACGGATTAAAAACTGGTGTAATTCATTAATTCAATTCAATTCCATGCCATGTTGTTGACATTGGCAATATTAATCTTAAACATTTTAAAGTTTTGGTGTTAGTAAATTACAGTGTGAGTACCTAAATGTGTGTTAGGCATTAAGCATGCTAACAAACATTTGCATAAACTCATTACATTTAAGAAGTTGTAAACACTTTCTTTCTATTGCTTAGTTTCAAACTACCTACCGTTGTGTTTTTCCAAATTTGAGAGTTGACAGTAACTTATGAGCCTCCTTCTCAGACACACATGATGAATAAGCTTCAAGAAGACTTGAACAAAAATAAAGCACATAGAATTTAGTGGTCTTGCATTTTGATCCACACAGAGCTTGCCTCAAAACAGAAACAAACAAAAAATCACTTTCGTCAATTTCTGATGATTATAGAATGGAGACTACAAGTGGTGAATTCAAGGGGCCTCAGCCATTTCTGCCATAATCATAAATTTTCTTACCTCAGCCACAACCATGGTGGGGCTGAGGTGGTATCGACTCTCTGTCTGTAAAAGTCCCTCCTTGGGCCCTCTATTTCAAATTCCTAGATACGCCACTGACTACATCCGATGTACATATCTCTAGGAAAGGCTGCAGTTCAAGTGATTGATGAAATGTTGAGGTGTTGGTAAAATTAAAATACTGTTCCTTCCTATTAGAGACTTGTTTTGATTTTTTTTATTTACATATAATATACAACTTAAAACACATCATGTCCAGTTCAGTTATATCTTGATAATGATTTAATCATGGTAATAACTATTAATTATATGAGAATGTAGAACATCATACAATGGTCAAGTAATGATTCCTCAATAATCACGCAGAATAGTTTAGTAGGTTAAACCAAGTTTACAAGGTTTGCCAAAACTTAATACCAAGTTAACAAAGTTTACCAGGTTTATCAAAACTGAATACCAAATTAACAACGTTTACCAGGTTTAACAAAACTGAATACCAAGTTAACAAAATTTAGCAGGTTTATCAAAACTAAATACTAAGTTAACAAAGTTTACCAGGTTTATCAAAACTGAATACCAAGTTAACAATCTTTACCATGTTTAACGAAACTGAATACCAAGTTAACAAAGTTTAGTAGGCTTAGAAAAATGAATACCAATTCAACAAAGTTTACCAGGTTTATCAGTTTTACCAATTTTATCATGCATACTGAGTTTGCCAAGTATATAATATTCAGAACATTACAAAGTTACAAAAACAATGAAAATTATAAAAATATAGTTAATACTCTAGGAAATGAAGCTTCATAAAACAAATATATAATTAAATGAAATGAAAAAAAAAACACTCAAGAAACTTACTGTGATACAGTGGGGTAAATATTGACTATAGCTTGTGCCTTCTCTGCAGTTAGACCACTAAACTGCAGAAGTTGTTTTGCAAATACTTCACCAGTTGTTAAAACCTACAGAAATAAAATGAAATTTTTAATATCTTAAAATTCTATAAAAAATATTAAACATAGGCTCATTGTAATGATGACATTAACATGTGTGACTAGTGACTCATACTTACTTTGTTTTTGATAGAGTTCTCATTGAATTCAAAGAATGACATCAAGTGTTGGGTTTTATCATTCAGACTTGGCACACACTTCATGTTCTCAAAGTTTTCCCTTGTGTAAACATTTATACACTTGTTCTGTTGTAAGAGATCAAGCAATTAGACTTCTAAAACCATAAAACAACAGTAATTGTGAAGAAGACAAGCCAAACCAAACCAATCACTCCTCGCAAATTGTGTTTCGGAGATAATGGCCAAAACATGTTGGAATTTAACTTTCATTTTACTGATTAACCTTGTTTTAATAAATAAAAAATCAATTTTTCGAGAGGAGTGACTGATTTGGCAACAATTATGATAAAATTACATGTGAGGATAGACATCTAAAGCCATTTATGATTGGAATAAAATTCATAACTTAGGGTCAGTAACAAGAATATTTAGAAAATGATATCTTGGTATTTGATTCGGGTTGCTTCGGTTGACGGGTGCAAGCATTATTTTAGAGGCATACGCCCCTTCCTCAACACCCCTTTAGATACGCCACTGAATACAAATAAGGTACCAGTACTTACAGAATAAGTACTTTGCAGGTATCTAGTCATCACTGTAAAGTAAGCAACAGAATCCGGTATACCACAGGTATGTTTAACATGAAACTTGTCCACAATCTAATTACAAAACCAAATCAAAATTACATCTTAAAAAAAAAGGTAATTCAACTTTTAAAAGATGCACAGATAATGACAAAAGTGACATATTCTCAAGAAAGGCCGACAAATTGAAAATTATTCTAACATTTTTTTTAATACACTTATATTCTATAATTAATTAGCTGGGAACACATCACATATTTCAAACGTATTATTGATTTTCACCTGTGTATTGACAATTGCCTGTTGTAATGTTGCTTTTGGTAAACTCATGTTGTCCATTGATCCATACTCTTCAACCAGATAAACTGGATTATTTATACCACACTGCTTTAACCGGAACTGAGGAAGAGAAGTAGAAGTTTCTATGTGAATTATACAAATCCAACAAGAACAGTGAGTAAAGCGAGTTTTTAATAGTATATATGTCAGACATTTTTGTGTGTCAGACATTGTAACATATCAACCAGTCTAATCAAACACTGTCTAGTCTAGACAAAATCTGACAGTGTATACCCACTACAAGCTCTGTACAGACTAAAAAATTTTATTTGACAAAAGCAGGTGACATACCTAAATATGGTCATGATGACATCACATCATCACTATATATGGGCAGAAAACAGCTTTTTTAAAAAAGAAAATTTGATAGAGATGACAGAGCTTTAGGGGTCATCTATTATATCCATCATTATATGAGACTATAAAACACACTCCTTTCTGTGACTGCCCTCCCTTTCCTCCCTCTAAAAGAGTACACAATAGTACGATGATGTATGTCAATTTAAACATAATTTTATCTCTGTCAAGAAAGAGAACATGCGTCAAGTCTCAACCCATCCTGCACTACATCCATGTTTTGTACTCTTGTGAAAATGATGAAAATCATGGATGGTCCCTTAAATGTTCAGTCAGTTATTGCAGATACTACCTCGAGTGAATCGTGGCTCCAGAAACTTGCTGACTGGGAATTAACATGTCCAATAGGAAGACTGAACAAAGGGACTGTCTAGGGTGTCTGGACAGGTCTCAGAATAAAACCATTAGTGGGTGTCAAGGGGAGACATTTTATGGTTTAAGATAGTAAAAATTAGGCTTTTAGTCCAACATATTGTCACCGACACCACGAAGAGACACAAACTTCAAAAATCATATATTTTCAATTTTTATTTCTTTGACATTTTGATTATATACATTGAATTTTACCTTTTCATGTAATTGTTAAGAGTGCAACTACACGAATTAACTAATTAGCCAATGCGCACAAACCGAGAAAAATGGATTTTTCGCTATTGTTGTGATCGGGTGCGGTGTTGAAGTTTGTGTCTCTTTGTGAAAACGGTGACAATATTCAAGACCACATTCATATTTTTAACAATTCTTTTAGTCTGGTGACAAGGTGTCCATTTTTGTCTGATGGGGAAAATCCCCCGACACCATCACTACTCTGAACATCATAATAGTGTCTCCCACCTTTTGCTCTTTAAACCGGCCATCTTTGATACTACCGCACAGATCATCCATTCTTTTCCTTTCTACAATGTAATCTAGCACCGCTTCTCTATCAGTCGCTTGTGCAACAATGCCGCTCTGCTTTTCACGGGCAACCCAGAGGAAATCACCAACCTGTAGCTTCCGAACGTCAAGTACGACATGGTTTTTATGAAGACCTTCGAGTAATTGTTTTTTTCGTTTACTTGCCCTAAAAAAATTAATGACTGAGATTTAAACAAATGATAACCACAGCATTTTCAGTTGAATACCTCATTGTCATCGTCCTCATCATCGCCATCATTATCAACACCACCACCACCCCCAGCACCACCAGCTGTTGTTGCCCAGTGCAAGACAAAGATCTTTGTACATATTTTTATGATGCCAAATAAAGAAATCAAATCAAAATCAAAATACCTACCCTCCAATCTCACAATTGTCAACACACAAGATAATCTCAAATGTCCCAGGATGCAAGATAAATTCTGGTTTTGATGTACTTTTAAAAGCATTGTCCTTGTTGATAGTTCCATGCCAATCAGCTCCCAAATTGTTTGAATTTAGATCGGATCTGTTGGAATTACTAACACCATGCACTGTCTGATCAGATCCAAGCTTGTTTGTAGTTAGATCAGCTCTGCTGGATGTACTAACACCTGCCAAATCAGTTGCAAAATTCTGCTTGTAGGTATGATTTGAAATGTGTTTAGAAGTTGTAGCTGGTGCATATGCATGTGCATCTATGTTGGACGAGAGATGTTTTGTTCCTGCAATTGAAGTGTACTGCCCCACTTCATGGTCTTTTGTCTTCTTTGGCTTCTTAGCTTGTATACTTGTTTTCGTGTTATCTGTAGGAGGGCGTTTATTCACTAGTAAAGAAATAAAATAGAAACGAATAAACAGTATTTTAAAACAGAAACACATAATTTTAGAGCATCTTATAACTGTATTTTCTGTCATTCTTTCCTTTCAATTCTTAGAATATTTTGTATCTTTCTGGTTTTTAATTTTTCTGTCTTTCAGCTTTTTTTTCAATTCCCCTGCTGTTTTTCATGTATTGTCAACATCATGTTGGATGTTCATATAACATCTTGCAGTTTCCAAAGAACTTACATAGGCCTCAAAAAGAGGTGATTATAGAACCATCCGGAAGAACTAATAAACACTAAGTTTGTTTGTTTTAGCATCCTTTTTAAAATCCTAATACAGCCCATAATATAAACTTTAATATCATAACCACATAAAGGCAAACTGAAATTTGGTTGCTTTATATACTGTCATCCAGACATTGTAAACATCAATATTCAACAGCATGAAACGAGCATTGCATGTCTGCTTGTATGATATGGTAAGGTGCACTATTCCTGACAGTTGAAGGAGCTGAACAAATTATGTTTCTTTACCTTTTGGTTTCTTCTTAATCCCTGGACAGATATCCAATGCCTGGTTGTTGTCAATGTACACATATTCCATCCCTGGCGCTGCTTTTCTTGGATCCGGCAGATGTTGGATGTTGAATTTTGCTAAATCACTTTTGATGCACTTTACTAGGAAACCAACTCCAATGTTATCTATGATCCAAGATATATAGAAAATAGATCTTTTTTCTCATTTTTGAAATGAAAAAATAGACAAGCTTATACACTACACTAAAAAAATCAGTACAATAAACAGCATCAGAAACTAATGTTACATTTTCTGTTGAGCGGTGTATCTGTGAGGAGACATGGTGTATACATATCCTCCAGAAATGTTTGCAACATTTCCAGGCTCCCCCCATCAAAAAATTACCAAGCAAAAGTTACAGTATTATACTTCAGTAGTTAACAATCACAGAAAATTACACACAGCTATCTCCCCTAATTCCTCCAGCTAGCACCCATTCCCATCAAGCATCCCCACCTTACCCTTCCTCTTCCATCATCATTATACTCCTGAATACACCACTGTTTCTGTTACTTTACATCCTTACCATCAATTATAACAACAGCTGAGTCTTTACTGCAAATTTCCCTGCCTTGGTCATCCACGTAGGTGTACTGGAAAGAGTCTGGTTCCTCAGTCCCATGGGGCAGAGCATCTGCAACAGGTCTAGGCTCAGGAACAATCATCCTTTAAGGAAAAGAGACAAACTATTTGTATATTTTATTCTATAAGTTTTTCATAACAGCCAGTCATAAAATGAAAAAATGTATTTCAAATATACATTTGATTATTATCTCCATTGTATACATATAGTGGCTAATACTAGTTTAATCAACTGAGTTGTGTGGTTTTTACACATTCTTACTTATTCTTATGTGGTGCCTGGAGAGTTGTAAGGCTTGGTAGAGGTGCCTTTAATGGGTCAACAGGCAGCCTAGGACTTGGGCCTTCCCTGGTCAGGGTCTTGGCTTGGTCATGTCCAACCTCTAGTTTATGGGCTAGATCACATCCAGCTGGAGTTATAGTATACCTGTAATTAATATAAAATCACAAATTTAATCGTGGAATACAGAAACAAAATTTGGTTAAGATAGATTTAAGCCTTTTGTATTTCAAATATTTAAAACATTTAAAATCATACATTTCAGTGCATTTTTATATTCAAAAGATCACAATTACACTACTATTAAAATTAGCATTTATGTAACACCTTTCCTGATGTTTGTATTGCTTTCTGTTACATAAATCTTCAATAAGAAATATTAATTACCTATCAATATATTCTGAACTTAATGAAATTTAATGTGTTAAACATAAACTAGTTTTAACTTTACTTACTTATCAATATATTGAAGTTGCACATAAAATGTTAAATTGAATAATTTTCCTATCATTCTCAAATATAATCAAATCCATAGAGGGCAGCATACCTCGATGGATTTCCTTCTCTTGTAACATATCCCTTTGTGATTAATGTACTCATTGACGACCATGCAGTATAATGACAATCTGCATCAGCCTGGCAAAAACAAGTGAAATATAAAGCAACTCATATGATCCTTGTTAAACGTAACCAGAACCTATGATAGTTAAGAGTGCAGGGCTACCCCCTGGTGGTGAATGGGGCATTCCACTAGCCTTTCCCCTTAGATATTATTGCTAAGTTCCCTCAAAGATGATTTACTTAAAGATGTGTGTTTGAGGGAAGTGTTTGCATTCCTTGCACTGTTCTGATTGGTCAGTTGTTACGTTTGATTGACATCAATCAAATAAGCTTTTATTTTATTGTTACAAACCACAGGAGAACAATAAACTATGTTATAAACTTTAACTGCGAAAAACAACACAAATACAAAATACAATAATAGATGAATATATTAACATGGCAATAAATATCAATAAATTTCCTTCCTTCCCTCAGACCATCTCATTATGAAGTTTAGGGAGTTGTTTTTAGCTTTGAGTGAGATAAAATCCAGTCTTTGTACAAGAGTTGAATACATTAAATAATAACTTTATATGTATAAAAAAAAATTATTTACCACTGTCATTGACTTTTCACTGAGATCTTGAGCTTTTGTTTGTAATTCTGGTTTCTTCATAAATCCCTTGCTACTGGCATCCTTGAAAAAAATAATGCATTTATATTTTACTATCACCATTTTCGCCAAATTTGAAGTTTAAATTTCCGACAACATGGTAACTAACACAGGGGGATTTCCAGACGCATGGCATCGCTCTATGTACTGTGTGTCTATGTTGTGAGCGGTACGCAACGTTCTTTGTTGTAGTGAGTTAGCCTAGGCTAATCTTTGAAAAAAAATCCCAAAACTAACAAAAAAAAAAAAAAACTGGAAAAGAAAATAGAAAAGTCTGCAATGTTTTTGGTTGTCAAAGTACTCAGAAGAAGATGTGTCTGGAAAAACAAAATTTGCTCAGACTAGGCGGAGTGAAAAGTTGCAAGACATTGGTGGCGCTGTTTCAAAATAGACCTGATAAAATGTTGTATAGTGTATAAATTTGTAATACATAGTATGTGTTGAGAATATCTTGACATTTCGGATAGGTTGCTCTATCATCACCAGCAGCAGAACTATAATATTATATTTTAGCCAATAAAACAATCATTATGTGCTTTCTTTATCATTTTCATTGATGTAGCACTCAAAAATATACATTAATCTAACCCCCTTAAGTAATGCAACGTTGGCTTGAACAATAAAAAACACAACAGTATATACTCTTTCACTATGCATGTAAGTCTCTACTCGCTCATGGCGAAAGGAAATTTGAGACTTGTTACATAATGTGATGCATTATACAATTGCATTATTTTTTGCAGGTAAGTTACATCAGGAAACTGGCTTACAATTGGTTCATCCAGGTAAGTATTCATGAAACAGACATATAAATCAATCAATCAATCTAACCCCTTACATCAGAAAAACATCTTCATACCACAGATGGCAGGTAGTCTTTTGAGAATATGTCTACCAGTACTAAAAATCCCATAATGCAATGCAATATTGGAAGACAGTATTAAGGATTATGACAACTGTATGTGTGTACACACACATTTATTAAAATATTTAAGTAAACAATTTCATACCTGAAAATCCCGGTATAGCGTAAGTATAAGAGCATACGGCCCGGAGCGGTATGCAGGAACATACTCCCTTGGTGCAGCAGGAGCTGTAGCCGTGGGCTTTGCCTACAAAAAAAATGTGTACAAGTTTGAAAATTGTATTATACACAAATAGCTTACAAATTCAAGTACAACAATATTTTTATAGACACATACGGTACACAGGATGGCCAAAGCAGCATTGAATCACACACAGAAACTCTCATAATTCTTCTAAAACATTTGGAAAGAAGCTTAAGGAGTTGTGACGAAGTACTAAGCCACCAATTGATTGGATGTGAACCCAGGTCAATTTGTTTGTTTACTGGTCTAAATGCAATTATGTACCTTGGATAATAAAATTACTCCATATAATTTGACAGGCAGAAAATTGGTATAAGACTCCTTGACTGAAAAATAAACATGCTGACAAAATATCATTAATAAAAAACATAAAGTAAAATCCTACCTTTGTTCGTTTCTTTTTTGGAGGTACTGGTGCATCTGCTTCATCATCACTTTCACTAATATCAATTCTCATACCTAAAAATAAACAGTTTTTATTGAGAGTGATAGACAATGCAACAATGTATTTAAAGTTAGGTCACAACTAACTATAACAAAGTAAAAAACTATAATATACAGTATATAAAAGATATAATCTAAAGTTAGGTCACAATCTAACCAAGTTAAAAAAATATATAATAATATATTTGAAAGATATATTTATTTATTATTTATTCCTCTATTTATGAAAATTTGGTATACAAAAGTCTACCAGAGAAAGCAGATAGGCACCTTGTCGTCATGACTAGTAGCTCATAATTAGCCTCCCCTTAACTAAACTAATCTCATAGCAATATGCGCAAATAAGAAAAAATACTATATGCATAATAGACAGTAAAGGGTTTCACTTTCAAAGTATTCAATATCTAAAGTAAAGTCATACTACTCTACCCAAGTTAAAAAAAAGTTTCTCATCCCCAAAATTAGAGAGGGCCAGCATTTTTTTGGGCAATCAGGATTTTTTTAGATTAAAAAATGTGATACTACACAGGTCAAAGACAACATACATCAGCGACGAACTGATTAGCGGTTTAACAATTTCGCAGCCAAAACGGATGACATTCTAAAAATGGTCAATAATAATAATATTTTTAAGGAAAAAAAACTTTTAAAAAAGTTATATTTTTTGCCTGGCAGTGACAGCTTTATTTCTTGACTTGTTACCATTTTCTTCCTTGTATGTAGTCAGTTTTTTGTCCAGCATCTTGCAAAGCTTGTCTCCAAAAAATTCAAGGATCTTTACATCTTGTCCACATTTGACGGGTAGTGGATATTTCTTCAGAGACCTCAGTGCCTATAGTTTGCACAAAAGTACACAGATTTAGAATAGCACCTAAGCAATGTATTTCCTATTGGTTTTAGGCCTAGCACTAGCCTAGACCTATGCTAGCTAAGCTAGGCCTAAGGGCCTAGGAACAGCGGCCTAGCTAGGCATTACCTACTACACTGGCCTAGCTAGGCTAGTAAAGTAGATGGTGCCAGGGACTCGATCAATTTCAAGCATATTTACAGTACTTACTTTACCATATGTGTATTGCGATTTCCATGATTGAGCTTGTGCTTCATCTTTCCATTCCGTTAACCATTGTATAAACAACTCTTTGACAGACAAATTCATGATAAAATTGTACAATGTGCATGAAGCCAGCATGAAATGAAAAACGCGCGCGGCGCGATTTAACAAATATCGAGCGGATGACAGTCGAGCGGATGCAGCAAGTCGAGCGAATGCAAACCACTTTTGCGGAAACCAAATTCCAAATACCGAAAGGTCCACTGATTAATCTCAGATAAGAAAATATAATACATACTCCAAGTATTGAAATACACGCCATCGTGTTGGGATTCAATATTTCGACATTAATTATGTCATCATCAGGAATGAAAAATTATCCATATTAGCAAGCTTATTATATGCACTAGTACCAAAAGTGTTTAACAATCAATGGTTTTGATTGGTTAAACACTTTTGATTGGTTAAACACTTTTAGTACTAGTGCATATAAGCTTGCTAATATGGATATTTTTTTCATTCCTGATGATGACATGTCGAAATATTGTATCCCAACACGATGGCATGTATTTCAATACTTGGAGTATGTATTATACTTTCTTTAATTCCAAATGGTTAGGAACTTCAGTTGAAAAAGCGAAGGTATCAAATGTAGGGCCTATATAGAATTCAACTGAAATTTCAGAAACTTGCCAACAAGGGGTTCAACATGTCTTTGTTGGTCATTCAACTGTCATTTTATCTATTTTTTCGGTGATATTACCATTCTCAATAATCTATAAAACACCCACATAACAACGTCACGTTAGATCGATAGGTGGGGACGCCGTTTTGACGCCGGTAGGGTCAATTTTCGTCGGGAGGTATCAAGATGATAAACAGATCATTGGACTAAATTCTTGCTTATGTTAACCACATGCTTACCTAAGATTATACTGACACTGGTTTTTGAAATCACGGTCAAGTAGTTAAAAATCACCTAAAATCACCTTTTGCGAATTAGCGCCACTCAATTAACTCATCATCGACCCTCGCCCCTCCACTTCATCTTCGAGCCCCCCACTCCATCAGCCCCGCCCCACTCCATCAGCCTCCCATGTCAAGACATCTAGATACGCCACTGACTTACATGGCCAGATGAATGAAAATACTCAATCGATGTGCCACCAAATCATAACCAGCCTTCGCCATGTCCTCACGATGTCACCGGGACGCATCTGCCAAAAAACTATTTTTGGCAGCGAAGGGACGCTACCAATAAACAATCAATAAACTACCGGGTCTCTGGGTTGATTTGCAAGGTAGGCCTACTACATGGCTCAATTATTTTTGACTTAGGGGTTAATTGGTATAAATTGCACACAAATCATACGACGTCACTGACAACGCTGAGGACGGCAACTCGATTTTGAGATTAATTTTTCGAATGAAGTTATACTAAATAACTTCTAATGACGAACTATTGTCTTCAGTTGTCTTTGTTGGTATTAACTGCCATTTATCTATTTTTTCGGTGATATTACAATTCTCAGTAATCTATAAAACACCCACAAAACAACGTCACGTTAGATCGATAGGTGGGGACGCCGTTTTGACGCCGGTAGGGTCAGTTTTCGTCGGGAGGTATCAAGATGATAAACAGTTTCATTGGACTAAATTCTTGCTTATGTTAACCACATGCTTACCTAAGATTATA